AAATGTTGGCACTAAATTTATTTTTTTTTTTCCTTCAGACGGCAGATTAAAAACTCCAGTTTCAAACTTTTACCAATTATGTTAATCAAATTTTAAAATTTTGTGAAAATCTCCATGTGAATTATGGACAATAAAGAAGGGAATAAAATAGTAAAGATATTAGGTCGATATTAGCGGTACCTGTGATTTGAATTTTCAGGATTTTGGAGTAAACAAATTTTTGTTAAAATTTTTAGAAAACAGGTTTTATTCTTTACTGTTATGCATTTTATATAAAACATTTTCAGATTATACAATTTAAGATAATATTAAATATATATCTGAAGTTTTAGTAAAATCGAATAATGTTAACCCATAAACTGTGAAGGTCAAACTCAAGATATGCAATATTGGAAATTTTTCTAGAAACCATAGTGAAATATTATTTTGTTTTCATTAGATTTAAATGAAACTTAGGAAAAACATATAATTAAGACCAGTATTTACAAAGACATCGAAAAATCGAAATAAACCCTTAAACGTAACTATATTTTTATAGTTATATAGGTTAGGTTGATAGAAGGAAGAAATACACCTAGGCCACTATCGGGCCTATAATTTTATAAAATTAATTAATTATATAAAATATCCGTAATATGTGAACAAAATATTCGATTCCATTATGCGAGAAAAGGGTGGGTGATAGAGAAAAACAGATATCAGATTCGGTTGCAGCAGCTAAAAATACAGTAAAATTTGTTTTAAAAGTTTTCACAAACCTTTAATTCGTTGGCCTGTGTAATTGACTAGGTTGTGTTTACAAACGATTATTTTGGGTCTTTTATTCTTTATAGAGAAATGCTTTTGAAAATAGGGCTGCTTGTTTTTGGTAATAAGATTGCTAATTTTAGTCAGCGGAGTAAATTTGGTTTGTCGACATTTGGTTTGATGCAATACAGCAGAATCAATCAATGAAAAAGTTTTTTTTATATATTAATTGATACATTTTTTAACAATTTAGCTAAAAATACGTTGACACATTGTAACATGTAAAATTATCTTGTCACAATTATTTTGTATGTATTACCAGCTAAAAATTTCCCACAGGGATACTACCGTGAATAAATACCATTAATTGCTGTTAAAATAAAAATATTTTTAGAAAACGTACGTATGTATTAATTTCATTTTCATATTAAATATTCAACATATTTATATAAATTTATCTATTTTTCGAAGTACACATGCAATCATGTGGTTATTTTTATATGACCATAATTTACATAAACAAAAATTTGAACGAGTATTTAAATGCAATAAAGCACTGTGCACAAAATGCAATTCTTAGTTTTTAAATAAATGTGCATAAACAAACCACTAGATACAATCGCAATGTATGTTGTTTACTCGACAAAAATATATGTAATTTGTTTGCATGCTTGTACACAATCTGGTTTGTAAATTTTATTTTTATTTTATTCTAATATTATTTAGTTGTCTTAATACATGCAAAACAAATGGAACAATTTAAAAATTAAACGGTGGAAGGAGTTTCAACATTTAATCAAATCAGATAAGATCAGATTAACATTGCCATAGGGACTAACTTTCTCTATTTAGATATTCTGCAACCGATGACAGACCACTAGTTAAAATTAGGATAAATATTAATTGATAAGTCTAATCAAACAGAAAACCTTTTTTTGTCAGTTGAATATATTAAGTGTCATCAGTTATGTCATCTGTTCAAAAGTCTCGAAAAGTTTTAGTTCAAACTGCCAAAAAAATCACTAAATTATTTAAGAGACATATTAATTTTTCTCTTATTACCAACTATAAACCAACAAATGGAAAACTTATAATTAAATAGAACTTAAGTTGATTGCTCTACTCTCACCTGTACTTAGTTCTAAACAAATATATTTACTGGATACAAACATTTAACATTTTATTGTTTGTTTTATATAAATAAAAGCCTCATTTAACGCCGCTGATTAAATTATAATGACGGGTTTAACTATCCTAAACATTTAGTGAATTACAGTGAAAATAAGTACTGAAGCTTTCGTGTTAAATTCATATAAATGGTTCCCTTAAATGTGTTGTTTTAGATATTCACATGTATAGAAATAAAAATAAACCTGTAAACATACATATGTATATAAATATGTATGTCTTTTATAATAAATACATATATGTACCTAATATTTTCAAATAACGTTTAATGTCAACCCTAAGTAAACATTTAAATTTGATATGAATTTTTAAGTTTAGATAACTTTAATTATACGGAGTGAATATTTATAAAATATACACAAAATATGTGCGTAATTAATTTATTCTTAATATTTGTTACGTTTGACCGATTTTGCTAATGTTTATACCCAACATTTCTAATACATCGCAATATCGGTCGAAGTTCCCTAAATGTATTAATATATATTCTGCCTCATCTTCCTGGAATGATCTAATCATGACTGTCTGTTTATTGGTCTGTCTGTTGAAGGCATGATAGGGAACAAACGTGAAGAACTTCACCTATTCTTTTGGAAAGTGGCCTCTGGAATACATTTAAAACAGTCAGAAATAGTTTTATTATAGTGGTTTTATTATGATATTATTAAAAAAATTCAAAAATTTAGTTTTACAAACCAGAAATCATACTATAAATTTCGGGCCTCATCGCCCCTACTTAGAAAATGTTTTTAACGTTCGCGACTGACTTAAAAATATCTGTATAACGATGAAACTTGTCATAGACAGGTTTCATAGGTATCACAAACTTTCTACCAAAGCGGTTCATAATTGATCTTATAGTCTATATAACCAATTTTATAGACACACTAAATTAACCAATATCTTATAATCTATAGAGTTCGGGCCATAATTTACCCAAGATTCCATAAAAACCCCTCTTTCGAAAATTACCCGGATGTTTAAATTAATATCAATGCATAATTCAACATAAATCCAATAAATGGCAATTGTTAGTACAAAATGCCAAATGCCAGAATGGACCTATGTTATAGGGCCCGAATGGGGTCGTATTCCAAAACTCACAAATTTACGTTATTAACAGACTCACTGACTGATGCATCCACGCACAAGACTAAACGGTTGAAGTTAATGAACTGAAATTAGGACAGGTGATTAGTCACACGCCAAATAAATCCACTTAGATGGGGGTAAAAAGGCTAAAAACAGGTAAATTCGGTAACCTCATATCTTCTAAATTAGAAAAGCTACAACAAGCATTAAATAAGTGTCGTTGTTCACTTGAAAAATAATTGGACAGGTTTATGGTGGTACGTTTTTGAAATTTTTCCATTTTAGGGAGTAAAACGATGAATATTGACTTTTTCAGTAACCCATATATTTCATAAACCAGTTAACATACAGATACAATTCGTAACTTATCAACAAAAAAAAAATACAAATTGAGTACTTTTGGGATATCCGGACGTTGACGATACCACTGCTATATTGAAATTTATATGACTTCAATAGGGAGAAAAAAGTACCAAATGGGGATCAAAACGTGAAGTTTTACTTTATTCAAATTCATTGAGTCAATTTTGATTAAATTTGAAAAATTGGTAAATTTAATAACACTAACCCCCATTTTCACAATGTCTAGTTATTTTTTAACTTTAAGATCTATTGACAGTTCTTATAAAAAATTGTCTTAACTGGAAGAATAACTACCAGTTAAACGAAAAATACTTTGGAAAATACTTTGGAAAAATGTTACCAGATTTATGAATCTGGGCCTAATGCCTACAACAGTACAGTATTTCCTGAGGACAGACTTTATAAGTTTTACTCAGCGGAAAATTATTTTATGTTTGAATTTTGCTCATTCTTAATTCCAAAGTTGTCTATTCATCGGAATGTTAGTATTTTTGGAAAATTGTATTCCTGTAGAACCCATATATCTTGTATTTCAGAATACAATTCGATTACAAACGAATTGAGGAATACTCTTTAAAATATTAATATATAGCATTGTGTTAGGTAAAAAGATTAAAAAAAAGTCGAAACCCTGATACCAAAAATGCATTTCTAAGCTAATGTTAAAATAACTCGCCGCTCAATTGTTAAAAAATGGTCTCTGGGTTAAAAATTGTGTCCTAATTAATGAAAAGCCGTCCTCGTATATTAATATAATCATGGGACCTCATTTTGCAAAATCGACAAGGAGAATATAAAAGTCAATACGGAGAAACGCCGAAAATGGTTCTTCTACTCACATCTCTATTAAGAAAAGCTCTTCTCAAGATGAACAATATGTCGAAATTTATAACATTTCATAATTATCTGAAAAATATACAATTCTGGTCTAAGTAATGTGACCTACATACATACATATGTAACTAAAAAGGATATATGTACATTAATTTTGTATAATACTTTATGCATCACTCTGTTGCCACAAAAATATTTTTCACCCACCTTTATGAGGGAAATATATGAATTTCGTAATCACCACAAACATAAATGAAATACTAAAAATTCTTGGGTAGTTAAAAGGTATTTAAAGGAATTTTCTATTCTCACATGACCTCAGCTCAAACCACCCACTTTTCTAATCACTACCATCGCCATTCATACCACTAGCAGCAATAATACATTTCTGTGTACAAAAATTTTCTACCACAAACTGCAAAATTGTGGTTTTCAAATGAAATAGACTGTACACAAATCAAAATTAAATAGAATTGAAAATCAAATTTAAAGACCTCATCGCACTACTGGTACTAATACTTTCTGGCTGGTTGGTTGATGTCTTTTAAAATAAATGATGTCACTGGCAAAGGAATATAAATTAAATGTAACATATTGCCTATAAATAATTCGTGTATTAAATGTGTTGTAGTTTCAAATACTTAATTTAAATGTAATATAAGTGACATAAATTTAACCACACATTTTGTCATGCATGATGGGAATTTTGTGATTTTTGTTTTATATTCAAGAACCAGCAGTATTTAATAGTTGATACTAAAACTATGAGTACTTACCTTAATTAAACGCTTTTTAATTGCCCTCTATAATTTCGATTTAATTTCTTTTATTTACACCGCTGACAGATGCTGCTGCTACTGATTCTGTGGATGATGTAGACGTTGTTGTATTTGCTGTTGCTGTAGATGTTGGTGACATTGATGATGACAATGTTACAATTATTTTTATTCTTGTAGGTAATTTTGTTTTTTTGTTTATTAAATTCTCCCCTCTTAGTTTTATTTGAATTTAAAAATTCTTGTTAAAAATGTTAATTACACTTGTACGAGAACGAATAGTAGTAGAAAGTAGTTGATTTGTTTCACTACTTTTTTTTATAACAATTTCAATGTTGTACAACGAACGTTGATGGAGATTATTTTTGCACGACTTTTAATTGAATTGTTTGATTTTAATTACTTGTTGTTGTATAGTCTGGGGAAACATTATTATAGTAGTAATTTTTATTGTTGCTGTAGTTTCAAATATACATTTTGATTAAATTAAAGACATTTATTAAGAGAATGATTTTTATGTTATACACAATAATTGGTATTATATTTTATTATGATATAAGGAAGAAAATCACACTTTTTAAATCAAGTATAAGAATTAAATCTTTTGTCCACTTTGATTAAATTTACGAAAAATTTATTTTAAAAATTCCGTAAATTTCAAAAAATATGAATCCATAATAAATCCCCATATTCATTTGATATTTAAGTGAAATAAGAAAAAAGTCGACTTTCCAAATATTTATATTTTATGAGAAGATCATTTAAAATTTTGAAATTGTCGACTTTTCGAAAATTTTTTGTTATTTGACTTCTTGGGACTTTTGTGACTGTTCTCTTTTAGAATTCTCTTTTTTCTAAGTTGATTGTTCCCAAAAAAAAAGCCGCAAGAACCCAAAAATCTGATTTTCAAATATCTTATCAGCACCCTTGAAGAATGATGCAAAATTAAAACCTCGGACAAAGCCCTCAAAATCGAGTGTAACATGAATTTTGTTTCTTGGACCAACACTCATTGGATGAACCCTACTTATGCAGTGCATTGTGTTGGAACAACTTAACCTAACCTATGTTGGAACAAGGAAAATATGTTGTGGGAGGGAGTATAGAGGGAGCAGTGCTTATACACATTAAATTTAAATATTTTCACATCTAAAGTGAGGGAGAATACTTCTGCAGGAAGTTTGTTCCACATAATACGAACAATGCTGCTAAAGAATTAATGAAGAAATGGGTATGTCATATACGATAGACGTGTGTAATGTAAAAATATACTAGTGTCGGGAACAACTTCCCAAAATTTAGAGGAACACACTCCATTGTAGTATCGATGGAACCCCACGTTGCGACGGTGTTCCAGTCAATAGATTTGGATAACCTACTGTCACCCTCTCCTTTACTCGTTCGAGTAGCTCCAAAATAGACTTCGAATCTCTGACCCATATCGGTTGGATAAAAGTGGTGTAAATAATAAGAAGATCAGATGGAGTGATGTATGACTTAAAGCTTTTTAAAAAACCAACACTCTTTGATGTTTCTTACGACACTTGAAAAATGTGTTTAGTCCAGCGGACATTGTACTGTATTTTCTTGCCCAGAACATCAATATTATCTGCCTTGCGTTCATGTGTTAGAAATCAACATTGAGTCATGCGGGAGTTAAAATCGACACTGTTAACATGACTCCAATTAGAGATTGTTGTCAAGACGTAATTGAGCATTTCATCTATATTATACCTCATTGCCCGAATCTAGAGGGCTTAACCTATAATTAAATCAATAAGAGAGTTAAAAGTTTGACATAGAAATTTATTAATGAAAATAAGAAATAGGGGAGGAGTTAATCTTGAACTCGTTTAATGAGATACCATCTAAAACAACTCATATAGTACGATCTCTGAGAAAGTTCGAAATAAATCGAGGGAAATTATTACCGACACCATATGCAATTAGTTTTGATATGTGTAAGTGCCAGAGATAGAAGCCGATGCAAAATGATCGGCGGCGGCGGCGCAACCATTTTATTACAGAAAATATCGGCGGCGGCTAAATTGTCGGCTCAATTTAACTTTTCTTCAGAAACTGACCTTATAAAATGGACATTATTATAGTAGTTATCACTATTTTAATATTAGTACAATATTGTGTGACAACTCAAATGTGTTTTTGTGGGTTTGATGGGCATATGATTGAATTTTGAGATCCATTTCGGAAAGATTGCAGAACATTTTTTTGAACATATTGTACTGAGATCAAAATGTTCAATCGCTAGTAGGGAACTGATGCCCTTTTCAATAAAAATATTTTTAATTTTCCCGTATTTATAGTACATTAATACCTATCGTTTGAGAGGCATTGTTAGAAAAAAGTGGTAAACGGGCCACTCTATTATACACCCTACTATTGCATTATAAAAAAGTCAACGTTAAATATTATAAAATATAAAATAACTTTTGTTTGCAATTTGCTTACATTTATGTCTATAGTTTTTTAATTTTAGTCCAGTTCTTTACTTTCACATCCTTTTGTAAAAATTCGAATTAATTTAATCAAATTTATGTTTTTGAGTTTCCTTTTTAGGTTTTTTTTTATTTTAATTTTTTTTCTTTATTTCTTTATACATAAATTTTCTCTAAAATTATTGTGTACACTTGATTATTTTTTTTTGTTTTTGTCAACATTTTGTTTTATTTCATTGTGTATAAGTGTGTGAGTTTAGCTTCATGAACATAACAATGTTAGTTTCCGGTCATTTACTCGTACATCCGTTTTATATTAATACTGGTCGAAATGAATGACACAGTATCCTAGATTTTATATATAAGTGTGTTGTTTTCTTTTTATTAAGTTTCAACTACAAACTCTGAAAAGCATTTATTTTTAGTTATTTTTCTTAATAAAGTTTATCTTGTTTTTTTTTCGTGTCACGAAAGAAAAGAGAGCAAACCAAAACAAATAAAAGTTTTTTTTTCAACAGTCTATATTTTTTCTCAGACAAATAGATTAAATTTATTTTTTCTTTCTTTTTTCAGTTCAAAAGGAAAAAATAAATAATAATAATAATATGCTATTGTTAATATAATTAAGGGGATGCTGCAAGCAATTTAATTTTTTTATTCAACAAGAAGCCCATAGTAAGACAACAGAGAAGTTGTTTAAACTGTAGCCTGCTTTTAGGTATATTTCAGCAATTATTATTAAATACAAACTTGTTTCTTAAAAGAAAAAAAAGACTCGTCTGTTTTTTATTTGAGTTCATTTCTTGCCTTTTTCCTTTACGTAGTGAGTCTCAGTGGATTTCTTTTACTCTGTTAAATTGTGGTGGTAGTATATTTGTAGAATATAACCAAAAAGGAAATGCTAAAAAAGGAACTATAAAACATTTCTTTTTCAGTTTTTTTTTTTATTTTCGTAAGATTTGTTTTTGTTAAGCTCTTTTTTTTTGGTTGTTGTTCTTGTTGTAGTGATGCTATGAAGATTTTCTCTCAGAGTTTATTTTTTCTTATTTTCTTGTTAATGTAGACCTCTTTTTTAATATTTTCTTTAGTTATGCTATTCTTAGTTTTCTGAGTTTTTTTATCTTTTTCCTTTATTTCGTTAATTTTATTTCGAGGCTGTGCCTTTTTTAGGTTTATGTTTTACTAATGTATGTGTGCAAAACTAAATTAATAATTCGTTAATTAGAAATTTATAAATGTTTATTTAATTGCAATAACTTGTATGTTAGGAAATGTTATAGCTTTTTCAATTAATAAATGTTTCTAGATGGAATCCTGTGGTAGATGTTAGTAACACAAGTACTAACAAAAGTACTCTGGACGTCCATTAATAGCAATTATATATTTTCAGGCTCATTTGTAATAACAAAAATTTTAATTATTGGACAACACTTGTCTGTCCTTTAGTATCCTGATAATACCTACAAGAAAGTATTGAAATTTTCCATAAGTATTCTTTAATGTGAAGAATTTTATTGGGGTCACTTTTAACTTTAAATTTGGGCAATTTTTTAATTATTTTGGAGCTAATTTTCGTTAAGAAATCGGGCATTTATTTCATAATGCAAAATTGCCCCAAAATCGGGGCCATTTTTCTTAAATGAAAAACCCTTCAGACGGCAGTTTCAAAGCACCAGTTTTATACTTTTAACAATTTTGTATTAAAATTTCGAGAAAATTTTCATGTGACTTATGGACAATAAAGAAGAGAATAAAATAGTAAAGAACTTAGGCCGATATCTGTCACTGATTAACGGTACCTTCGATTTGTATTTGGGGATTTGGGAGAAAACTGTTTTTGATAACACCATACAACAGCCATTTTCGCACATGAAACAAGTAAGAAAATATGATACCCTACATGAATATTAAATGTGATTTATTTTTCATAATAATTCATTGTTCCGATACATTTAAGCAATTTATGGATGGAAAACTAATTTTCGTATAGGGGCTATATAATAGACCGAATTTAACCATTGTTGTTCATTTTGTTTTGGTATTGCTATAATAATTATATAGTCACTATGGTGAAGGGTATATAAGATTCGGCACAGCCGAATATAGCACTCTTACTTGTTTTTTTTTGTTTTTTTTTTGCAACCGATTTAACTGAAACTCAAAAAATCGATTTGGATGAAATTTTCGGAGAGTTGAAGGAAATTGTCTAAGCTTTCATTTGAGCAAAACAATCAATTTTGAAAAAAAATGGGGGGAAAAGTAAATGGTACATGTTGAAAAATCGTATTCTTGAACAAAAAAGGGCCCATTTTGAAAAAGAATTGTTTTTGTTTTTAATTAATTTTTTCTAAGACCAATAGATGAAAAGTTACACTCAATTGCTAAACACCCTGTATGACCAAAATGTCCAACTTTGACCCCCTCTAACTCCGGCAGTTCTTGACCGATTGAGGTGAAAATTTGTGTCTCATAAACGGATTTTAAAATATATTCAGCAGGTTTTGGAACATAAAAAATGTTTCAAAATCATTATTTTGGCAACAGATATGCAGATGAGGAAGTTGGAATTTTAACAAATTAATTAAGCCAATATTATTACAGAACCAAAAACTTTCATAATGTTACGCATATCAAACGACCTTCATCAATAAAAAATATTTGTGGAAAATTTCAGCATTCTATATATTTTCTTTTCGACTTTATAGTCAGACAGGGAGTCAGAAGGAAAGATCGTCTTGAAATTTATAAGGATTCAGAATATTTATACAACCGGAATGAAAAATCAATATACACTCATTATGAAAAAAATTAAAACAATATCTATAGTAAATTATATACATTAATACATGGTGAAGATTGCATAGATTCCAAGCAAAATTTTCAGTTTTGACACTCTTAAAGTAAATGACCATTTTATATTCAAAACTAACATACGCATTCTCAATGATTGATATCAAAAAATAATATGGTCATTAACTTATTAAGGTGTTTTTTTTTCTGTGGGTGGTTTCGCATAATTTTTGACAATAATACAAAGACTACATATAAAATAATATTTGCAAAAAATTTGGCACTAAAATATATACCTACAATGTATATATTCCATTTCAGTATAACATATACTTAAAAAATTTATTTGTTTATCTTAATTTTTGGACAATGATTATAGGAATGTGTATTCCTAAACAAACATTTATCATTTATTCTATTGTCTAATGAAACAAAAACAACATACACACACATTTATTTTGAATATAAACAATTTATTTCTTGCAGTGCCAACTTTTTAAAAGTGTTTATTAATAAAAAATAATATACATTTGTAGCTTAATTTATTGTTATTTATTTTCAAATTTTTCTTTTGAAACCAATTAAAATATTAGAGAAATATTAGAGATTTTCGTAGTGCTGATAACACCGTCCGACATCAAAATTAGACACGAAATGAAAAACAAAAAACACAGTTTTTCTCCATTAAATTTATAGTTTTAGACGTAAGTATATTATCCGGTTTGTGTCTAACGAATTTTTTATCCTTTTGTCGGACGGTGTAATCTAATATACAATCAATGTTAAATTTGCCATTTTTAAAAGCATAAATGTTTTTAATTTTTTTTAAATTTTACAAAACTCAAGTAAGAAGATTTTGTATGAATTTTATCATACCCATGATTACAAAAATGTTTCCCTTTCTATTATTTGTATTCCTAAAGCACTTAAGGGCCAATATACTTGAGAAAATTACTTGTAGAAAATATAATGAGAAGCGTAGAATCGAGGAAACTTATATAAAAATAGAGGGCATTCAAAGGAAATAATTGTAAATTAATACACTAATACTAATCCCAAACACAGTGTTAAAAGAATTTATTACACTTCGTGTTGGTTAAGAACACTTTAAAACACAATATCTCAAATAACTGTGCTGAATCCTTCGGAAATGTATATTTGGGTATCTGAATTTCGACTTTTTTATATAAATTTGTTAACCTCTTTAATCTTTTTTAAATTGTATCAAAATCTGTCGATATTTACAGAAAAAACAGAAAATGTGCTTTAATTATCAAATTAATTGTATCGAGCATGTTTTGCACCTATCAACAAAAGATAATAACAATTATGAAATTTGAAAAAAATATTTTTTTCCAATTAAAAAAGTAATAATAAAAACGATCAGTAATAAAACTAAAATTTAAAATGAATTAATTCATTAATTGAATAAATTAAATATTTGATAAAATAAAACTTAAATTTTAATTAGTTTTTTAATCAAATGAACTAAATGTTTGGTTAAAAATTTATTAAAAATCAATTAAGTCGATGATTGAAACAATCAAAGCATTAATTGGATGCTCACATCTTTAAAGCACGTTTAAAGGCTGGAAAAACTTGATCAGCAAATTAAATAACTACAATTTATTCAATAAAAAGTTTAATCAAATTTGTAAACTAAGGTTTAAAAGAATGTGATAATCAAGGCAAATAAAAAATTGTGTAAATAAAAATTAGAGATGGAGAAAAACAAGGTATGTAATTGAAAATAAACTACCCATAAATTGTGTCTGTGTTCCTTGAACTGCAAACTAAATTACTCTATGGTAATTTACAGTTATAAGGAAAGGAATTCTTATAGAACTGGGTGCAAACTGTAGAATATCGAGATTTTGATCGACTGTTGCAATTTTCCTTGATCTTTAGAAGTTGTACCTGTCAGATTTTATATCTGATGGTCATTGTATTCTTATTATGGTAGTGCTCTAGAAGAGGGTCCCTTTGCATATTTTAACCTATTATTAAGCTAACATAATTAACAATAATTTGCATATTTTAAACTATTATTAAGCTAACATAATTAACAATAATTCGGCTAAGTCGTATCTTATTTATGTTAAATTGAAGTTAATTTTAGAAGGGAGTTTATGGCGGCTTGAGTTAATTATAGATCAATATCTACACTATTTTAAATAGTGAATAAATGTGATATGTGATTTTTGTGAATAAACTACAATAGGTGTAGGGATATGTCCAATTATGAATCGATTTTAATGGAATTGAGAGGTTTTGGTTCTTATGAAATTTGTTTATTTATAAATAAGCTAGGTATGAGCGTTAAAGTCATTTCCAGAAAAGGATTTAATGGAGCTATGATCAAATGGGTACACAAACTAAATTGTAAAATATGCATATGAAACTAGATTCCATTTATAGCTATTCTGCATACACCGATTTTTATAATCAGCTCTTATCTTCTATATATATAAAATTTAATGTGTGTTTGTAAGTTTATATGTTTGTATGTTTGGATATTTGAAGTTTATAGACTACTAAACGGCTGAACTGATTTTCTTGAAATTTTCACAGTGTAGTCCAGCATGTCTGGAAGTGGTTATAGGCTACTTTTTATTTTGAAATTTCAAGAAGGCGAGGAGCCGCGCCCCTATTAAGGAAATATTAATTCAGTATATCTGAAACAATATAACATTTAGAGTCCTGAAATTTTGTCGGAGCCACTTTAGTGTCAATATGAATATTTAGGACAAAAGGTAGACGGACTAGCATTAGGGGGCGTGGCACCTCCCATATAAATTAAATACAAAAATTAAAAATTTAACATCCATTTAAACATTTTGGGTAATAAATTGGCGGACTACCCATGAGGGGAGCGGCACCTCCCATATTAATTAAATACAAAAATTCGTTTATCTGGGAAACTAATGGAATAAAATTCTTCAAATTTTGCACGAAGAACTTAAATATTGATCTGAACATTTTGGAGGAAATAAAGCGGACTTTCATCTGGGCGGGCTTGATGTCCCCATATGAATTAAATAGAAAAAATTGTATTTCTGAGAAGCTATTAGAGCTAGAATCTTCAAATTTTACTTGAAGAATTTTGACATTCATCTGAGCATTTAGAATATTACGGGCGGACTTTTAATGGGCAACTGTGCACCTCCCATATGAATTAAATATAAAATTTCGTTTATCTGGAAAACTAACAGAACTTAATTCTTAAAATTTTGCACAAATTATTT